TGTTTTATAACATTTTTGTTTCGACAAAAATTCGATTAGAATACTAAACAACGTTATTTGACACGAAACGTAACATTCGTTTTCTTGTTTCATATAAATGTTTCAAATGCCGAACATTGATTTATAATTCATGTTATACACATATGCACATAAATGTGATGCTCATGCGATGTTTTAACAAAGTAGTACAACGTAACACCGAGGGTGTTACACGACTGTTCCCAAAAGACATGCCATTTGGAACTAAAATTAACTGTCTAATCCTATCCACTAATCCTGTGCTTGATGGATGAGATCACTCGTGAATAGACGCCTATTCGTTTGTTGACGTCCGTTCGCGTATAGGTGTCGTTTCACAACAGGTCACATATGAGACAAGTTGTCCAATGCTGAGGGAGTATCATCGGAACTATAGAGAGAATTATAAGACGTACTTTTTTCAGCCATGATACAATATTTTTCTCTCACAACAAATCAGTGAACAATACTTTTTAGCCTGGCTTATCAGCCAAGCAAATGGGGCCTTAGTGATGTAGTAAGGTGGCGGATACGTTTAGGTCAAAGAGTGAGCTACTATATGTTCAAGCACCTCGTCTACCCCCTCCATTCCTTTTTATTTGTTGTTTTCACTTACCGAGAAATTAAACGTACTCAACCTTAACCAAATATATATTCATAGTACATAATTAATATTATTAGATAAATAGTTGAATCTATCTATTTTTATAATAAACTTGTTTGGAGATACAAATGTTGCTAATATTTTATATAAATTTAGTCAAATTTAATAAAATTTGACTAACACGAATACCATAACGACGGATAAAAAAAGGGACAGGGGGAGTATTTGTCATCATGAAACAAGTTGTCCAGTAGTTGAATCCAGATAGACTTATTCCAAACTTATTTCTGTTTGGTTGGGTTTTTGGCTTTGGCTTTTTGGCCCCAAAAGCAAAAAATGCCAATTTGTTTTTTTCAGAGTTATAGGTGGCTTTTGGCTTCTGCTTTTGAAATTGGTGGAATAAAAAGCTCTTCCATAGTTGTTTCAAGAGAGATAAAGATAAAAGGTATATTTTATAATTTCACTTTTTTCTTGTACTTTTCCATTCCAAACAATTTTATCTTAGATCAACCAAACGGGACCTTAGTCCATGCAATTCATTTGATTATCAATCGGAGCCAAAAGGATGTCATCTTAGATGTTGTGGACCTAAATATGCATTTTCATTGCTCTTTCACATCCTTTACTATCATCCATGTTAGAGTAACTTCTACAGTCTATGCAAACGTGGCTATCTAAATTGGACAAGGGTCCTCCTGGTTCAGTCTTAATTTGGTAGGGATTATACTGTTTCTTGGTACAATGAGTTTGGAGAATTCTACCAAATGGCCCCTTTAATCCTTTGGGGGCAAGGATTTGTGGGTGAGCCGGTACAGGGAGTTTTTTTTTTTGGGGGGGGGGGCGTTGTCATAGCTTGCTCCTATTTATGGACTAGTTGGACTAACGATCAGTCTATGACTTATGGACTAGCTCAGATGGTTGAGTTCTTTATGGAGGAACCTAAAATCTATCGGTTCAAAAAAAAAAGAGAGTTAGAACTTGGAATCTTGACATGCACAAAGTACTAAGAAATCATGAGCGCATGAGCATCACAACTTACAAGGGGGGAGCTCGGATGAATGTTGGGGCATTTCGGCAACATGTAATTTTCCTAACTCCAGCAAACTTGAGATTGGTGGGTGCTCCACCAATTTGGTGGATCTAGTAGGGGTAGATCAAGCAGATCCTTGGTGGAGCTGCTGAAGCTAGGTAGAAAAATTAAATATAGATCTGTTTTTTTTTATCTGAAGCTGGTGCAGCTCTACTAAACAAGCCCATAGTCTATAGGGATTCAGCATGTAAAAAGGGCCGAGGTGATGCCTTCTAAAGATGACGGAAAATTCTACTTTGATGCTGCACCACGGGCAGGGCGCCGCACTTGCACCTGTGACATGACAGTGGCAAAGCCAAAGAGGCATCATTCAGAATGGCATGAACAGAAAATATCAATATTTGTGAGCAAAACATGAAATAGAGAGTACTAAATTCCACTGCAACATGAAAGGCAAACATTACAAAGCTGTCTGTCTGTAGAAGATTTGGAAACCCTGAACTTTAACAATAGAGTTCTTATCCATTGGGCTCTAAGTCTTAAGTTGCAATAGCATTATAGCTCTTGAAAGAAGGTTTATATCAGCTGATTAAATTGTGACAAAACAGTGAAAAGGAATCTGATTAAGAGAATGCTGGAAACTTGGCACAGATATGGAAACTTCAACCCTGAACACATGCAGTCAAGCACAAGCTGATTCAAGGATCCATTACCATCCACCATTTGAGATGTATGATCTTCAGGCACTCTTTTTTCGAAACGTCAGCAAGAGACTTGACGAATAAATTTATTAGAAGCAAAAATTTACATGGGTAAAAAACAAAAAACAAAAACAAAAACCAAAAGAGCAGAAAAAGGGACAAAGGGGCAGCTCGGAGTGAAGGGGAAGAGCCCCTCCACCAGCAACTACTAGCTAACCCAAAACTTGAATAAACAGCTACAGACAACCAAAACCACTCGAACCACCCAAGCTTGATAAAAAACCCAACTTGAGAGGGCCACCAAGAATGCCCTATGTTGTATCATTTGCAAACAGCATTGGTGCAATGTTTCTGTGAGCTGAACCATCAACCCAAGAACATAGCCACAACGGTGCCAAATCCCCTTTACCCACTGACACAATTGTTGAAGGGAAAACTAAATCCCTGTCCATTTTATCACAGGGCACATACATTTCTGCCCAAGCTCTCTATTTTTCCATTTTGTGCCACAGCCAACATAATTGCAGTGCCCTAGCAAAAATCTCAATGTCTTTAATTCCCAAGCCGCCTTTCTCCTTGGAGAGAGTTACAACTTCCCATTTGAACAGGCAGTGACCGCCAATGACATGCTCCGGATCATCCCCCTTGTCCTTCTTCAGACATTCTAGACAATGGAGTTCTACAGGCACTATTCAGACATCGTTTCACCTTGCCCTTCTTCAGAAATAGTCAAATAGGACAACTCTCAACTTGTTCTACCTACTAACTGCTGGTTGAGCACAACCCGATTTAACCACAGAGTATTCGTCCATCACGAGGACTTCATTAAAGATTGCCAACTGGCAATGAGATATAGCCATTTTTGTCTACATGACTTAGAATGGAAAATGATATAGTTACTACAGATGTATACTGCAGTTCTGAGTCACGAGCCATATGAACCATAAAGCAGGATGGAAAAAAATCAAAATAAAGTAAAAGAAAACGTTATACTTTTGCAAATCATAGGAAAAGAAATCTTTGGAACTTCCAGTACAAGCATGCATAAAGGTCACAGAGCTTTGATAAGCTCTTATGATTATTCCGTATATTGTTCTTTTCAGGGTAACTGGATAAGGATGAACTACTCTGCAGTGCTGAGTGCTGACTTTTACAAATTTACATCATTACCAAAATATGTAGTCAACTTCCTAATGGATCACCTATAAGACAGGTAGCTGTCAAACTGACATGTCAACGATATGCATTCATTTGCAATGGGGCAGAGAATATTGTTCGTTTTCTTTTTTCCATTTATCTGGCCAAGCATTGGAGGAATAAGTGACCCGACATCACGCACCCTACTTACACTCAGTTGCTCACAGACAAAAAGGATGTCGAAATGGTAAAGATTGCTATTCGTCTTGAAATATCCTACATGATGATTGAATCTTATTGAGTGTCAAATTTTGCCAAGGTACAATCACCAAGATTAAAAAGACTACATCTAAGCAAGGGTAACCTCATTTTCCCCATGAACATGTCAGAACAGAAATTCTTAGCATGAAAATACAGTAAGACATGGTAATCTATCTATAAGAGAATAAGGAGTGCTCATTTCACACCAGCTGGATTTTTCTGGCACAAGCTATCCTATCCCTGATCTATGTACCTCAAAATATACCACTAATCTAAACATACTGCTTTAGTGCTTTCACAAAAAAATCTGGACAAGTACGGTTCTGTTAAAGGATAACTGAATATTTAAAAGCAGCCCTAAAAGGAGCATTAGCTGGTTAATATACACTACCTGATTTTAGCAAAGAAAGAACCTTATTGGGTTAAGTCTGCTTAACATAGCTTCAGCAGTAGTAAATATACAAAATTGTTTATACCTCATCTTGAAGATCAGTTCAGACATCTTTTCCCAATCATGCAAGATTGCAAATCTCTTGAATGACCTAGCACCCACTTTTTATCTCTCTCTTAGTACACACACAAACCAATGTGTTACACTAAACAATTACTAATTCTCACTATTTGTGTGAAACTTTTATGCTCACATGCAACTCCATGAAATGTGTCTTGCACATATTAAATTCTAAGAGATCTATGGCAAAGAATCTAGGACCCTGAATTTCTGAATAAGACCAATTATGTTCATTCTTCATTGGATAATGCACATAAGGCATAACAGATGCACCCTCTAAAATGAAACACTACTGACACTGATCTTATCCAATAAAACACTATTTGCCTTCCATGGAAGTTTCATCATGCTCAAAGTATCAAACCTTGCATAACCTCATAGTCCTAGCCTCTCAGGTCCAAACTCAGGGCAAAACAACTGCCATCTTTTTTGGTCAGGAAATGAACTTGAAATGTTATTCAGGATTAGTATTACTCATGGAAATCATTTTACGAGCCTGGTAAAAGCAAAGAGATCTATAATACCTTCTGACAACATCCCATTACAAATGGATTCAGTAAATGTGTCACACATCACATAATTATGTTGAGGCAATGCAAGCCGCAGTGACCACTAGCTCGAGTTTTTCAAGGAAACAGGCGAACCTACAGATCTTTCCAATAGCACTTGCTGAATTGAGGAATCAATTGAAGACAACATAAACAGGGCGTGCAATCGGAGAAGCTGGAACCTACTAGATCAGAAGTAGAGCCCCATCTGGACGTTCTTCTCCACGAACCCGCACTTGGCGTAGAACCCCTTCAGCTCCGTTGTGCAGTTGAGTATAACCTTGTAGCACCCCCTACCACTAGCGTGCTCCACCAGGCGGTGCACGAGCCGCTCCCCGAGCCCCCGACCCCTCGCGGCGGCGTCCACCACCACGTCCTCCAAGTGGCCCACAAGGCCGCAGCGCCGGATGAACTTGCGCTCCACCAGCACCGCCCCCGCGGCGGCGAGGCGGCCCGTCGCAGCGTCCTCCGCTACGAGGATCAGGTGGTCGGCGCCCAGCGCAGCGAGCTCAACGAAGCGCGCGCGAAAGGCTTCCTCTGAGAGGGGCGGGGAGGGGGAGAGCTGCGCGAGAAGGTCGCAGAACCCCTTGGAGAGGTCGGCGAGCTCGAGCGGGCGGATGATGTACGCATCCCCTATGGCCTCCACGCCGGCCCCGGCGCCGGCGCCGGCCCCGGCCTCGGCCTCCGCGAGAGCGTGCGGCTGTTCCATGTGTCTACGGGTACTACTGCTACTGCTAGTCTGCTACAGCAGGAGGCGGCTCAGATGGTAGATCACAAATACGGGCCTCACTCTCGATCCAATAAACTGATGGGCCAGAAGATCGCGCGTTTTTCAACTGGGCCGAGACATTTGCCGATAAGATCCGAAAACTAACCGTTCAGATTTTTTTTAAAAAGCCCCGCCCAAACGCACAAAAAATCGCCAACTCAAAATCCAATCGAAAAAAGTCTACTTAACCACCCCAGGTCTACTTCATCGAATCGTTTATCCCTGAATTTTCTAAAACCATCTAATTTTTATTTTAAACGGTTTTTAACATCGGTTACTGTAGCAAACCCATATCAAAACCGCTGTCAAAAACAGTAAAATAGATGGTTTTTGAAAGTTCAGAGTAAAATAGATGGTTTCATACTTATGGGTGAAGTAGACCACGAATGAACGGTGAGGTTAATTAGACTTTTTCCAATTCCAATCCCCAAACGGCCAAACCCTCTGCGGTTCGTCGCCATGGTCGCCGCCGCCGTCGGCGAGGCGACCCCGCCCCCGGACCTCCCACCCTCCCGCGTGTCCGTCTCCTCTCCCTCGCCCTACCCCCGGCGCCGCTGCGCCCTCGCGAGCCGCTTCCGGGAGCCGGCGGCCCCGCGGCGGCACGCGTGGGTTTCCCTCCAGGGTTGCCTTATCGGGGCGGAGGAGGCGTCGTCTGCCGCTTCGGCCGCACCGGGCCTTCCCCCGGATGAGGCGGTAGCGTGGGAGCTCTTCAGCCCGCTCCATCGCGTGCTTCTCGTCGCCACTGTCGCCGCCGCATCCTCCCGGTCCCACGCCGCCCGCTGCATAGAGCAGCTACAGCGGTCGATTCATCTTAGGGTTTGGCTCTATTGATCTCCTCGATCGTATTCGTATCTATGTCTTGATCGAATATTTGGTGACCATTCCGCGAACAATGTTTTTGGTGTGCAGGATGAGGTGCTGGAAGGCATGCAGCAGAAGCTGGATGATCTGCTCGTCGAGATGAGCTCCCTACAACAGCAGTATGTCAAGTGCGATAGTTACATTTCCGATGAAATGGAAATGAATGATATTGCAGGCAGCAAGAAGATAGGAGATGGAGAGGGATATAGATCCTGTGTGTGCATGAAGCTAGAGGCTGCTGCCACTCCTCAGAAGGCAAAGGTAGCACCTGCTGACTTATTGCTTTTTCTTTCTACAAGAAGAAGAAGACGACCTGTTTACTGAAGAGTATGCACCAATCGTGCAGGATCTCCGCGGGACAGATGATGCTAGTTGTGATATGGTTGATAGGCCTAGTCTATCTTTCATAGATCATGAAGAGCGCCGTATGTCAGACTTCTCAGACATCTGCTGGAGTGTTGTGTCATCAGTTGATAACCAGATAAATGGGGATAATCAGGTAGTATGCTTGTACTTTTCTGGGGCTAAAGCATCTTCAGTTGTTTTGTGTGAAATTTCGCATCTATTGTTCACACATACCTGATTGTACCCATGCCATAATTCTCGACAATGCATTCCTTTTGGCCTTTTCAAGTTACTATAGGGGTTCTTTGATCAAAGTTTACACACTCCTTTTCTTATCCTCAATTGTGTTGTGTGGTGACACCATGCTAAATTGTGTCCAGCTAAGTTTCCTGGCAGCAGATCAACAACTGTACAATCTTCAGAAGGAATGTGAAGAGAAAGATGCAACCATCAAGGAACTAGCTGCAGCGGCACATGCATCTAGTACTGCTGATGCGAAGGTTAGAATCTCAATACTTGTCATTGCCAACATTTCAGGTAATATACTATTGGAGTATTGATAAACTCTTCCTTTTTGGCATGTAGAGAATTGCAGAGCTGCAGGAAGTTCTTAAAAGGAAAAACATGATGATCTCTAAATTGAAGAAAGACATGGCTGCTCTGAAGCATATGGCAAGCAGTTCTTCCAAGTCCTAACTGATCCTCTGTGGTCATGCGAAGCGTTAACTTCTTATGTTCTTTTGATAGGTTGTTGAATTGTCAAGGGCTAAAAGAGCATCTTCTGACATAAGTCCAATATGCACGAATCTGCCAGTGATGCCAAACAATGTTCTGTATGATATGAGCAGTTCTAGCTCATCATCAGATTCTGAATCTCCTGTTGCACTAAGAGAATACCTTGATGAGCATCTTGTTGATAGCACTCCAGGAGATGTTGATTCCATAAGGAGTTGTGAAGTATCTGCAGCAATAGCATCTCTTCCATCAAAAACTTCATTCGTTCACAAGCTGCGCTCAACTAGCCCTTTAAAAGAGATTCGTATTAACCCAAAAGTAGAAACAAATTCGTTTGGCAGACAGAAGCAACCTACATCTTCTAATGGAGATTTTAAAAGGATTAGACGACAAAGTCAGCAAGATCCCAGGAATAAAGCTACAAGAAGATGGATGTAGAGGTTAGCCATCTAGAAGTCATTACCTGATTGGTAAACTTGTGTTATTAAATTGACCTGCTGTTATCCTAGCAACATGTTGTTTGCTTCAGTTAACCTCTTCTAGTGTTTATTTGTTTTATCCTGCTTCTCTTCCTTCATCATTGCCATTGCTGATTCTATTCATCACTAGTGTAATAAAATTAGACTTCTTTTTAAAAGAAAAAGGAACATGATAAACATAAATTAATCCATGGAGATTCTACTTTTAGGAAATACTGAAATAATAGTGAACTAAGTCTGAGGTTCAATTCTCTGATACACTAGATATTGTTCTTCCTGTTGCTTCTTCCCCAAATTGATTAGATATTTCCCAAAGACTTTAGGGTGCCCCACATATATATAGATGGATTGTGCATGCCCCTTTTTTGTTTATTAGGGAACTAATTTATACTATTTCAGTTAGTGATGCTTGCTACTTCATATACTGATATAATCCTGAAGTGTTTATTATATTATTATCATATGCTGTAACAGTCAGAAGGTCAATTTCCCCCTTGCCGCAGCAGATGCAACAACACTTTTTTTAGTTGCCTTGCAATAATGACCAATCTATTCTCTTTCCATTTCAGATCTGGAGAAGATGAAGTTGATAGATGTTATCGATTTTGGTTGATGAACTTTCCATGATGCTTCCTGGCTTCCAGTTCTTTCTGGTAAAACAGTATATTGTAGTATAGCATTCTATTCTGATAAAACACTTTTTTTAGTTGCCTTACAATAATGACCGATCTTGCATCGGAGAAGATGAAGTATGGCTGCAACTTGCATATCTGTACCTTACCTAGCTTCAGCGTTGGAATCTTCTCCGATGTATAGAATGTCATTTGGATCGCAACGGTCAACGTCTCCCCTCTCTTGAATCTATCGGTTATATTTATTAGTGGACTAATTTATCCCGCGGAATCTTGGAATTCGTACTTACGAAATACTTTACCATTCTTTTGTTTGTTTAGAGTGCTTCTGAAGTGCCGCCCTACGGGGTTTCTGCTTCCCTGTCCAGCAGATCACCATCTTACAGATGTTAAACACAGTTGGGCACAGTCCACACAAAAGCATGTAGTTTATTTCTCCATGGATAATTGGCGTAGCTAGGATTTCAGGCTAAGACGGTCCAACCTCACATAATTCATTTTACTATTTAACACTGAAAATTATGGTTAATTTGTTATGCCAGAGCAATTTTTGAATCCCCTTTGATGCAAAACACAAGAGATAGGAAACGTGCACTTCATCAAGCAGCTGCCCTGAATTTGGCTTTCTGACGTTGTCACGAACTCATACTCGCGCCATTGTCGTGAATATCTGGACCGCCATATCTTGATAGCTTAAGCGTGAAGTTCAGGTTGTCCAGAGCCGTAGGGTGAGGTTGGGAGCAATTCTCTCAATGGAAACCTTTAGAAGCTTCAATATAAGACCTATTTGCAGTTTTTTTTCGAGCAAAGACAAACTTTATTAGCTAACCATAGACGGATTACAATCCCCGCAGACGCAGACGCTTGTCCTAACCAGGCCACAAAATGTTTACAACGTCTAACTAATAACGCTAAATGTCCTATTCGCTTGGTTGATAAGCTATAGCTGAAAGTACTGTTGGTTGATTTGTTGTGAGAGAAAAATACTATTTGTTGGTTGAAAAAGTACGGCTTATAAACCAAAGTGAACGGGGCGAAAGCATTTGCTACTCGACTGCATTCTCTCTTTCGCTTGGGAACACTTCCAATCACTCATCAACCAAGCCAAGCGCGTGTTTAGTTCCACCTCAATATCTCAAAAAGTGCTACAGTACCTATCACATTGAATGTTTGCGGTCCGTGCATAGAGCATTAAATGTAGACGAAAGAAAAAACTAATTGTACAGTTTGGTGGGAAATTACGAGACGAACGTTTTGAGCCTAATTAGTCCATGTTTGAATACTAATTGTCAAATAAAAACGAAAGTGCTACAGTAGCCCAAAATTCTATCTTTCGGGAACTAAACACGCGCCAAACCTCTCGCCTCCTCTATGCTTGGGCCAATCTCTGACCTGTCCACCAACTGGCTGACCTGTTTGCAGCTTGTACGGATCCTTGCAGAATTTCAGTGTTAGAAACTAGGACGGGTTTAGATTGGGGTTAGGAATCGGTATTTGGCACTGTAACATTTTTGTTTGTATTTGATAATTATTATTTAATCATGGCCTAGCTAGGCTCAAAAGATTCATCTCGTAATTTACAATCAAATTATGTAATTAGTTATTTTTTTATTTTTATTTAATACTCCATGTATATGTCAAAAATTTGATGCGACGAAAAGAGAAAAAACTTACGATCTAAACAAGGCAGAGACAGGATCGGCGATTCATATGTACGGAACTACGGATCCGAACAATCAATGCAAGATGGAAACAGAACTCTTGGAGTCTTGGACCGGCGCTCTGCCGGCCAATGTTTTTTTTTTTTGTAAAAAAACAAAGTAGAAAGAGGGGCCCTTGCACGAGCATGAGCACGAGTTCATGACCGACCTGAAAAGGACCCGAGATGGTAAATCCATCCATCCACGAGGCGCTGCATCGCTCACGTAAGTGCTCACCGTTTAAGGTCGCGGTCCACAGTGCACACGCGGGCCCCGCATGGCAGCCGGATGACGCGCGCGCGGGGTCGGTTCGTCGCCACTCCATCAGATGGATGCCGCGTGCCACTGGATGCCACGCGATTGGTCGGGTTCGTCCACCGTGACGGGCTGACGGCGATTTGCCCGCCGCCCCCTTCTTTAAACCTCCCGCACCGTGCAGCGAGAAAAGAGTGGCTCTCCAGCGGTCCGCCAGCGCCCGTGGAGGCGTGGACCGGACTCCGGAGCGAATAGAGTACGAGGAGACGAGAGGAGACCGAGGAATCTAGGAGCGTGCGCGCTGCCGATCGATCGGGGGCTCGAACCCACCGCGCCGGCGGTCGTCCGAGATCCCGCCACCACGAGCGGAATCCAGCCTCACTGCCTCAGGTGTGTCACGGGCGGCACGTGGGCCCGCGTCCCCGGCTGCCGTCCATCCACTCGATAAAAGCAACCGAGTCGAGGGCGATCCTTTCTCTGGGCTCTGGAGTCTGGCAGGGGGAGGGGAGGAGCAGAGCCGCGAGCCGGACCCGGGAGCCATGACGGAGCCGGGGGACGGGAGTAGGAGGCGGCGGGAGGCGGAGGCGGAGGCGCCGGTTGTGGCGCTGGAGTGCGTGGCGGGGAGCTCCAAGGCGGAGGAGTGGGGCGGCGGCGCGGGCGTCGTGCAGGAGGGGGACGTGGTGGAGGCCGTCCGCGTGGGCCGCGGCTCCGGCGGCGGCGGCGGCGCCGGGGCAGCGCTAGAGCTCGAGGCGCCGTTCAAGGGCGGGCGCACCGGGCTGCACAAGGCGCTGCACGCGGCGTTCAAGCGCGGGGATACCTCCGTGGAGGTGCGCGTGCGGGGCGGCAGGGAGCTGCAGGCCTGCATCGTGCCGCACCATGCCAGTCCCGGCGCCGGCGGCGGAGGGGGCAGGAAGCAGTACGTTCTGCGGTCGCTGCACGACCCCAACTACTTGCTCGGATTCGTCGACCGCCTCGAGAGCGAGTGCCTCGTCTTACAAGGTAACCGACCACGGACTGCTCTGTTCACCGCTCTGGACAACTGCTTCTTTCGTAGTTGCTGCATCTGAACATACATGAGAGGAGGGGCACCACGGCCATGGCGTTTCTCCCTCTGCGCTGCCTGCACGGCGCCTAGAGCTAGAAGCGCAAGAAAGCGTGTGAGCCCATTCCCTCAGCCGCGCCCACGGCCCATCTCTCTCGTCCCCTTCCATTCTCTCTCGCCTTGACACCTTCTCTTGTGAAGAATGCTCTGGCTGGTGGTCGTGCGGTGGGCCGGCCGGTGGCGCCGTGGCTGCTTCAATTAATCACAGTATGCATGTCTGATGCTCCCCACGCGTCACATGTGAAAAGACAAACTTCTTGTTAAATCTGAAGTTTAAATTGGACTGAGAATATTCTGATAAGCTGATCTTTCAGTGCACTGTTCCAGCAAAAAATGCTGATAAGCACTATTTTTCTCTCCTTTTGTCTCACCGATAGAAAACTAAGGAGGTCATGGCCATCAATGTCAGATTGACAGCTACATAGCAAAAATTAAACGTAGCAAAAGGATAGAAGTATATTTGAACTACGGAGAATGGAAGAAAGACGTTTCCAAAATAATGCCAAGTGCGTTGCTGTCATAGAAATAGGTCATCGTCTAAATGTGAGTCAATTCTTTCTTATATACATTGTAATTTTCACTCGTTTTCTCGTCTCATCTGGGGACTATTCGACTATTGACCACTACGGAGAATGGAAGAAAGACGTTTCCAAAATAATGCCAAGTGCGTTGCTGTCATAGAAATAGGTCATCGTCTAAATGTGAGTCAATTCTTTCTTATATACATTGTAATTTTCACTCGTTTTCTCGTCTCATCTGGGGACTATTCGACTATTGACCTCACCTAAAGGTCGTTAGACTTGCTCATCATTTTATGCTCGTGTTCGCTGGTCTGAAGATTTTAGACCAGCCGGCTGGTCCGGCTGCTCCTCCTCACACGCTACAGTGCATCTTTCAGCCGTTACAGTATTTCTCTCTCACAACAATTAGCCACTACAGTGTTTTGTCTTTTTTTTCCAGACAAGCGAACGGGGCCTATGGCTTCTTGATGATTTTTTTTCATTTTTTCTTTTTCTTCTGTAAAATGAAAGTTTGCATCTACATCAATCATGAATTTAGGACGTAAGAGTTGAGAACTGAGAACATCTTCAACGGATTACTTATTGTTGGCCCGGGATCTTTCACACGGGTGAGTCGACCGCCCACCGGCGTTGTCGACCGCACACTATGGCTAGAGGTAGAAGAAGGGAGGAAGAATAGAGCGCACACACACAGTACAAGCACCGTTGGCGGAGCTCTACAGAGGAGATGACAAAACTGAACTCGTTCTCCTTTACTAAGTTGCAGTGGGAAACTATAAATATAACTCTACACATCTAATCTTAGTACACAGACATGGCAGGTTGCCATGCTGCTACAGTGACCAGACGCGACAACAAGGCTGCCTTTGGCGCATGCCCCTACTGTGGCTATAGTGCGGCAGGGGAGCCTTTCGGCGTCTGCCCCTGCCGCGGCTACAATGCAGCAGCAGAGAGCTCCTTTCGGCGCCTGTCCCTGCTGCGCGTTCAGACATGGGAGGGCAGTAGATTACTTTACAAATTTTTTCCTAATCCTGCTGCTAACCCTAGAACCTCCACCATGCCGATCATCTTTTTCAGCTCCGTGAATCGAAAACGGCCGAGCGGTTTGGTGAGGACGTCCGCGAGTTGCCGACCAGTTTTGACAAACTCGATGACGATCTGTCCTCCATCGACACAGTCCCTGAGGAAGTAGAACTTGATGTCGATGTGCTTACTCCGGTCGTGGAGAACTAGATTCTTCGCAAGGGCGATGGTGGGCTGGTTGTCCACCATCAGTGCTGGTGGGTGAGCTTCCACACCGGTCAGCTCGCCTAGCAGCCGACGCAGCCACACAACTTGGCACGCCGCTGTGACCGCCACCACGTACTCTGCCTCGCACGTGGACAGCGCCACCATCTTCTATTTCAGCGACAGCTATGAGACTGGAGCCGACCCGAGGAAGACGAGCACGCTAGAGGTGCTCTGTCGTCCATCGATGTCCCCCGCCATGTCTGCATCGCTGAACATAGTGAGTTGCAGCCCACTTCCACCAGTCTTGGGGAAGACGATCCCCTGATCCACCGTCCCCTTGACGTAGCGCAACAGCCGCTTCACCGCGGCCTAGTGATCCTTTCGGGGATCCTCTATGAAGCGGCTGACGTAGCCCACGGTGAACGCAATGTCCGGCCTCGTGTGGACTAGGTAGTGTAAACCGCCGACGATGCTCCAGTAGAGTGTTGCATCTACCTTCGCTGCGGTACTGGCCTTCATCAGCTTCAGCCGCTCCTCCATCGGAGTCACGCACGGCTTGCACTCAGCCATGCCGCTCCGCTCCAACAGCTTCGAGGCGTACGCGCTTTGACCGAGCGTGAGCGCCTTCTTCCCCTGTCTCACCTCGATGTCGAGGTAGTAGGAGAGCACGCCGAGATCGCTCATTCCAAAACGAGCCGTCATCTCGCGCTTGAAGCTATCGATGTCCTCCGTGACGCGCGTCGGTGACGATCAAGTCGTCCACATACATGCCGACGACAAGCTCCACCTTCCCCTGTCACCGCATGTAGAGCGCGTGCTCGGTTGCACACCGTGTGAACCCAAGCTCGCCCAACGTGGCGGCTTAGCGTTGCACGCTCACGAGGCCCGCCGCAGCTCGTGGAGCGCCTTATGCAGTCGGAGCACTCTGTGCTCCGCTCCCTTGACGGCGAAACCCAGAGGTTGCCTAACGAAAACCGTCTCCGCCAGCTCACCATTGAGGAAGGCCGATTTTACGTCCAGGTGATGGACACGCCAGTCCTTCGCTGCTGCCAAAGCCAGCAGCAGTCGGATAGACTCCATACGCGCTACCGACGCAAAGACTTCCTCGAAGTCGATGCTACAATACCGGGCAAAGCCTTGGGCGACGAGGCGCGCCTTGTGCTTGACAATGGCGCCGTGCTTGTCCCGCTTGACCTTGTACATCCACTTCAGGCCGATCGGACGACATCCTAGATGTGGATCGACGAGCTCCCAAGTCTCGTTTTCCTCGATCGCCTTCATCTCCTTTAGCATTGCCCGTCGCCAATTTGTATCGCGCTCGGCCAGCGTGAACGTGGGTGGTTCCTCTACACTGACGAGAAGCGGCTCTAGGTCACTGAGCAGCTGACCCGCCAGGCTTGAGAACCCTGTGCCGCCGACGATGTCGTCCAGCCTACGGAACTGCACCTCCTCACCATCGTGGAAAGCATCCACGAACTCTGTAATGTCGCTTGGAGGTGAGGCGAACTTGATCGGCGTCGATAGAGTCCCTTGTTCCGCCGGAGTGATCGGCATAGCACCTGGAGTGCTCGACACCCCGGCTGCAGTGCTTGGCACCACTCCTGTAGTGCTCGGCACCCCTCCTAGAGTGCTCGCACGGAGTGGTCAGCACCACTGTAAGACTGCTCGGCTTCGCTACGGGAGCGTTCAGCACCCGTCCTAGAGTGGTCGGGACCACTAGAGGACTGCTCAGCACCCCTTTTGGAGTGCTCGGCACTGCTCCAAGAGTGCTTGACTCTGTTGCTGAAGTGGTTGGCACCTCCTCTCCAGTGTCTCCACTACCGTGGATGACCAAGTGCTCGACGACGAAGGTGCTAGTGAAGCCGCTAGCTTCCCCGTGCCCGGACTGTCCCAGTCCCAGGCAGCCTTCTCATCGAACACGATGTCGCACGAGACAACCACCTTGCTTCCACGTGGGTCGTAGAGCCGGTACACCTTGGTACCTTCCTCGTAGCCCAGGAGCACCATCGGTGTGCTCCTGTCCTCCAGCTTGGTGAGGACCGGCTTCGTCTTCCTAACATGGCCGATGCAGCCGAATGTCTGGAGGAAGGACACGCTCGGCTTGCGCCCATACCACGCTTCGAACGGCGTCATGCCCTTCAAGGCCTTTGTAGGCGCACGGTTGAGGATGAACACCATCGTGGTCACCGCCTCACCCCAGAACCTTGTTGGCATGCTCTTGGCCTTCATCATGGATCAAGCCATATCGACCACCGTCTGGTTTCACTGCTCAACCACACCATTCTGCTTTGGCAAGTACGGCGTGGTGTGGTGTCGCACCACACCCTGACCCGCGTAGTACGCAGCGAACTCCACCGAAGTGAATTCGCCACCACAATCAGTCCGCAGCATGCGTAGCTTCTTGCCACTCTCCGCCTCCGCGCGTGCATTAAACTTCTTGATCACCTCCGCCGCCTCGTCCTTGCTCATCAGGAGTTGCAGCCACATATAGCGACTGCAATCATCCACGAGTAGGAGGAAGTACCACTGACCACTGTTTGTGGCTAGCGTGATTGGCCCGCAGAGGTCACCGTGGACGAGCTCAAGAGTGTCCGCCGTGTGATACTTGGTCGTCTTTGGTAACGATAACCTCCTCTGCTTCTCGACTAGGTAGCTATCATACAGCTCACTGCGTGCTTGATGTGGGGCAGCCCTCAGACCATCTTCTCCAGCCGACCGAGCGCGTCGAAGCTGAGATGGTCGAACCGGGCATGCCACAACCATGGCTCCTCGGTGCGCTGTGCTGCCAGGCACACCGGCTGCTCCACCTTCAAGTCAAGCAGGTACATCCGATTCTGGGACCTCTTCACCTTGGCAAGAAGATGTTGCTCCCGGTCCCTGATCCTGAGGACGCCATCCTTGATCAGTATCTTGCTGCCGCGCTCATCCAGCTGGCCAATGCTGATGATGCTTGAACGCAATTATGGTATGTAATATACATCCGTCAGCGCGCGGTGCTCATCGTTCTGGCTTCTGAAGATGATGGTGCCGCGCCCTCGGATCGCCGCCCTTGAGCCGTCACCGAACTTCATCGTGCCGGTCACGTTGCCGTCGAGCTCGGAGAAGGCTTCCTTGGAGCCCATCATGTGATTGCTAGCACCGGAGTC